TTAATGCTGGAGAAAGTTATCATAGCTGCTGAGCTGAATAGACAAGGTACAATTTTCAAAAAGAGTGTACAATTATATGCGTGTGCCGATGATATTGACATTGTTGGCCTCAACAACCGTGCGGTGATTTCTGCTTTCTCTAGACTAGACTAGACTAGAAACGAAAGATATGGGGCTGACAATGAACGTGGGCAATATCTCCCATCAACACATAAACTGTCATCGCATTCGCGAGTCGGCCGCCACGTCAATGTGGACAGTCAGAACTTCGAAGTCGTAGATAACCTCCTCTACCTAGGATCCAACATCAACACCAATATTTATGTCAGCCATGAAATCCATGGCGAAATCATTCTTGTCAACAGGTGCTACCTTGGACTGAGTAGGCAATTGAAAAAAAGTTCTCTAATGACGAACGAAAACCGAACTCTACAAGTGCCTCATCTTTCCCGCTCTGCTATATGGTGCGGAAGCATGGACGATGACAACATCTGATGAGTCGGCGTTAGGAGTTTTCGAAAGAATGGTTTTGCGCATTGGAAACGGCGTATATTGCAAACGATCAATCGCTGAGCTGTACAAGTTATCCACTATACATTGCTATAGTTCACGAAACAGCGGCTATGCTGGCTAGGTCACGTGGTTCGGATTGATATGAATACTCCCGCTTTGAAAGTTTTCGATGCAGCATCCGCTGGTGGAAGTAGAGGAAGAGGAAGACCTTCACTCCGTTGGAAGAACACGTAGAGAAGGACCTGGCTGTACTTGGTGTTTTCCAAAAGGACAAATTTACGAATAAATACAAAAAATAAATACAAAATTGTTTATTTTTTGTTTGTTTCTGGTCAACTTACCGAACATTTGTTAATTCGCCCGTACCTAGGCAACAAAATTTTTTTCTATTATCATTTGGAATTATTTTCTACTGTTTTCGACACTTAATAATTTATTAATCATCATCAAACTTTCAACCCGAAATTCTTGGTGTCGCTACTATCGCCTACATTTTTTGGGAAAAACTCGAGGAGGGAATGCAATTTGGGCAATTTTGATTACCAAGAAGTGGTCAACAACATTATGGAAAGATGCCTATGCAGCTGCTTCACCGTCTGTGAAACATTTTGTTTATATCGGCGATAGATTTTCTAATATCAGGCCTTACAAATATTCTTCTTTAATTTAAATGAAATATATATCTTCCATGACAGAATAGTTTTAATTACTTGGAGGTCATGAAGTGAAAATTTCCAGTAATGAAAGGAATTAACTTTTATACCCGGAAAAACTGGAATATATCATTGCCGTTACGTGGAAATGACTTGACTAGTGATAGTATAAATAACAATTTTATAACCCCTGAAGTGATTTATACCAAGATCCTTCTCCAATTTGTGATGTGCGTCTTGATATTTTTCCAACAAATGAAGGGACCTGTAGTACGCAATTCAAACCACTCGACTTTGATACTGAGGATACATCAGGATATTTATTTTGTCTTTCTTGCATTTATACTCGTAACACTCATCAACACTAGCAGCATTCTTCTACATATATGATTTTTCTGCTATCTTCATAGCGCTAGCAACGACCACATGTACAGCTTTATTCTGCACGTGACACAAAACAGTTTTTGAGTGTATGCTACAACGAAACAAAGGTAGATATGCATCTTTGAGCCAATTTGTTATTATTTCGCCACTTTTTGATCATATAACAAACAAACGTAACAAAACAATGCTAAACGCACCACAGCGTCAATGCTAAAATTAATAGTCAACAAGCTTCAAAGTGAAACTCCCTTCCCCCACAGGCTTTGGTTGATACTATTTAAAACTTCTTACAATTACTCACAAAAGTATTTTAAAAATGATCCCGTATGAACGAATTTCAAATTTCTAAAAAACGATGAGGCGACGGAATGTCGTGGTCAGAAAAGTATTTTCCTGTTATTTGAAAACTGGTTTTCAAAGAAAAAAAATCTGTTTAGCCTTCCACTTTTTCGGAAATAAATGAATTGAATTTTGGTATTTCATTTAAATGCATTTTTTGTTTGTTTGACTGAGCATATTACAAATGGCATAAGAAAAAGATTTAGCTGCTGAAGACAAAACATTTTTTTGTATGTGCGCAAAGGGTATTAAACTATTAGATATCTTAGTATATAACACCATTAAATTATCACGATGCAAACAATGTTTGAGGCCGGCCAAAGTAGCTGTATATCCGATTATAATAGTAACGCTAAGATACAAATAACGGATGAGAAAGTTCAAAAACTGCATAATAATAATGATCTTCCAGGCAGTTTGGAACGTAGTAATTATCAATGTATGGCTCTCAGAAAACATCAATTAACAATGTAACAGTGAAGCAAAAATATAAATCATTTTTGGTTTGGATGTACGGCATGCCGAAAGTGATATAAGCCTTTGTATCATAAAAATTTTAAATCCACTGGAATGATTGATGGAGAATCCGGCTAAGAAAGGGATTGAGTGATCGAGATTTAGGTAAGGGTAGGTAATGCTGCGGTGGCTACCGATTATCCCAAAGGAAGAAAGACTTATAGGCATGAAGTCCTTAGGGCAACTATGAGTGCCCTTACTTGCTTAGGGGATGAAGACGACTGATACCCGTCTCCATGTCGGTGGTATGTAAGAAAATCCATCGAATTTGGGGACTTAGACATGATCGCCTTTAGTCTTGTTGTTTTTGTTATTCACTCAATATCACTGCAAAGATCCCGTCCTTATAGCCTTTTTATAGACCCAGAGTTCGTCTTTTTATTCTTTTAGTGGCAGTCTTCCGATAGTCTCTTAGCTTTATTTCAGAGCTTCCTACATAACTTCAGGAGTGTGTCCAGTTCTTTCGACCACCAATGCGGTCTGCGCTTCCTCGCCACATGCGCACTGGACTTGCTAGACTTAGAGCTTCGAGGTCTACTACATTATCCAATTCATCTGTAGAAAAAGGAGATTCTAGTGTTCGACTACCTAATGGGTTGGTGATGGTAGTCTGATATGACTCTCAGTTAGTGTGCCTGGGATTCCGAAAAGAAGTGTTCATTGAGAACTTTTCAGCTTGAAATATAGTCGTGAAGTTTTTCACTGCATAGTGTTAGGTCTATGACTTCTTCACGGTTTTTGTTAATAAATGTTGGAGCTCTCCCTCTTTTACATATTAATAAATTTGTAGATAGAAGATAGTTGAAAACTGACTCACCTCTTACGTTGATGTTTGTACTGCCCCATTGAGAGTGGTGGGCATTTGCATCGCTTCCGATTAATAGGAGCTCATGGCTGCGTTCTTTCACGAAGTTTCAAACCGTGATGTGAGGAGGGTCGATGGCGTCATACGGCTTGTAGGCTGATGCAACCAAATCATTCTTCTCCCTTAATTGACGACAGCTGCCGTGACATCACCATCGCTGTAATTTGGAATAGATAAGATATTTATTTCTATTGTAGTCAATTTACATGATCTTATGTTACCTTCGTTATGCGCTAGAACTAACTTGTAACCGATGGTCCCCAAACCACATACTTTTGAGTTTACCACCCAAGGTAAAAGAAATTTAAAAACTAGTCACTGTAGAAGGATATAGGTTTAAACATGTTTATCTATTAATTTAAAAAAAAGCTGACATTACACGGCCGAAAAGGAGGGAATGTTGAATGATGAGTGTTTGTTCAGCTCGGTAATGACTCAAAACACACAAAAAATTAGAATTGGGATGCTTTTCAAGAAAAAAATGTCTATTAACATCATTCCATCACATTCTTCAATCAGCCCTATCACAATTTTCGGGCCTATTTCTAAAATCTTCAAAATTAGCACCAAAGGACATGTGTTATTTATCTTCAAGATGTTCTGATCCGAGACTGAAAAAACGGCCAAATTGTTTAAAAAATGACTTTTGGTCAAAAGGAGTATATTTTTGTGAGCTAAGAATAACGATTTTTTACGTCATGTTATAATTAAACCATATAATCAGTATTTTAAGAGAATATTCTGTTGACCTCAATCCAAACGGTGAACTTATTTACAAGAGCATGATGCTATGTAGTCAAATAAATTGGAAAAATATGAGGTGTGACAATTCAGCTATGAGACGCATTCCATAAAAACTATATATTTAAAATTTATTCCATAACTCTGCCATCCCCTTCAAAGTAGTCCCCTTGGGTAGCCATACAACGATTTCAGCGCGTTTTCCATGCTTCGTAATATTTCTGGAACGCTTCGACCGGGATGTCCGCGAGTACCCTCGTGACGGCCGCCTGGATGCCTCAATCGACTCAAAATGGGTTCCGTTTACCACCGATTTCATTCTAGAGAGGTGACATATCGAGCGAAAAAGACGGTTGTTGCAACATGGCGATGCCTTTAGGGGCCAAATACTGGGAAACGCTGAGGGCTGTCTGGCACGGCGCGTTCTCGTGATGAAGGATCCAGTTACGAGCGATGACTAAGCGCGCATTGTTGGCGACTCGACCGACGTCTTCTACGTTTTCACGTACCTCCTTAAACTCTTTATGCCATTATAACACCTTGGCACGACTAAGAGCACTATTACCAAGCACTTTTGCAATTTTAGCAAACGTTTCCGGAGCTGTTTCGCCTAATTTGGCGCAAAATTATATCGCGATGCGTTGACCCTGATTTCGTTTTTCCATTTTCGTGACGAGCACCACGAACACACGTTTACTTATCAAGACATGCACACCTTTACGCAACGCGGGACAGCGGGCGAACTAAACAACCTAGAGCTATGGCAAATATATCAATTGAGAGGAGAAGGATGCCGGAAGGAGAGAAAGGGAATTTCGAGGTCTAAAGGTTACCACAATCATGGCAATATAATCAGTCTCATTACTTCATAGCCACACCTCGTAATCGTATAACTGTAACATTAATGCAAGCTTTCTAAGTCAAGATAGTTAAATCCGTAAGGGTCTTTAAGGACAAAATTAACCAGCAATGATCCAAAAATTATGTACCTTTATGTGTGCGACATTCGCCATCTTTTTTTTCTTCGTGTAAGCTCGTATTACTGCCATTTATATTACCATTGGCATTGACATGACTGTGCTCATTATTATATAAAAATAATGATGTTGACGTTGGTGTCGGTGATGGAGTTGGTGGACTGTGAAGTGTATCATGTGTGTTGATAAAATTTGCTAAATACAAATCCAATTCCCGAACCGACACATTAATGTGATAAGGATTTACACATAAGCTGGGATGCGTACATTCTGGATTCTTTTCTAATCTTTCTCCATCAGTGCTTTCAAGTGGTATTGCTTTAAAAAGTATAACCATTACCAAGTCTAAACGCCACACTTTATCTGCTTGTCTTAAACAGTCGATTCGTCGCATTTTCCCTTTCTGGTCAGGATTCGATAGAACGCAAATTGACTTCCGCTTTCCAGTGATGGATTGCACGAAATCTTCCCGGCATTCCTGAGTAATATCTTTACGCAGTTTTCCTAGCAATCGGGATGCCCACTTTTGTTTCACCTCCGCTTTTTCATTCTATTAGATAAACAATATAAAAATTAAATTAATGACAGCTATTGACGGTAATGCAATGCAGTGGACTCTTACAAATAAAACAAATTTTTTATATAAATTATATTGAAAGAAAAATCTCTAGTTTTTAGACAAAGGAAAATATAACTCGATCTAGATACTCCAGTTTCCATTTGGAAATTATGACCTTGTATTTTATCATACAGACTCGGGTCATTTTTATCGAAGTACTCGTATGCATTTCCATTTTAAGCTTACACGAACGATATTTGAATAAGAACAGGCCTTGTGTTATTTTACAGAGAAACAAAAAGAGGGCTTAAGCCTACCATATGAAACATACTAAAAAATAGAAGAAAAAGCTTAAGACAAGAGTTCTAAGGCTTAAGTGCATGCAAATGGAATATTGGGCCTCTAAATTAAGAGGCGCGGCGCCGTCTAGTATGCTGATTCCTCCCAAAGAGATACAGGAGATTAATAACTACCCTGACACGCTGATCTGCGCTGTATTTTCATTAATATTGGAAAGACTTCCTATCCTGTAAATCTATTCAGATTTGTTCTACGCTGGAAGCAGCTTTAATACCAACAATATTGTCTATCTTAATATCTTTGTTACCAACAACTAATGGCATTTGAAAAGTAAAATGGCACTTGAAAAGTAAAATTTTCTCTATTTTTACAAGATCTTTAGCACTTTTTAAGTTAAATGTTTTCCCAAAAATGTATGACAAGCTAAACTCAGTGGCATGGCTGTCTAGGCCATGCTGTTTAACGCCAATGTTTGATATTAGTTGGCCAAATTTAGTTGCTAAAAATAAAATATTATATTTATTTAATAATAATATTATTATTATTATTTTATTGTAAGTGTCTAACTCATAGATAGTAGATAAAAATGAAAATCATTGACAGCTTACAAAAACGAGTATTACAGTCTCTGAGAGTAGACGGCTTCCCCATGGTGATCACAGTGATTTTGTCTGTCACTGAGATTTGGTGCATTGTATGTAGCAAAAAGTGTTATATCTACCAATGTCACGAAAGTCGGTTCACTTCTCTGGAAGAAATATCTTATATTAGGACCAATGTAACTTTCTTCGTGTAATCTAACGGAAGCTTTTCTTTGACCTTTCTCCTGACGCATGGAAAATGCTTGTGTTTTAACTGACTTTTTTCCTTTTAAAAAATATTTTATTTTATATGAAAATGATAATAACCAAAATATTTAGTAACGTTTCATAAATCATTTATTAAATATAGTTTATTAACATATTAAATATTTGTTTCAGATGATCAAAACTGCGAGGCTTTGCTCTCAAAATCTTCCGATGGTAACGTGGTTCTAGCGTAGAACTTAATCTAACGGTCACCTGTCTTGGACGAGCTACGATATTTATTGACATTGATATTCCTAGTATAAATAAATACATATTTCCACTTCCATAAAGTTCTTACTTGTAGTTCGTCTTTGCAGTGCCGCTCCTCTTCCAGTGACATGCGCTTTTCATGTTTTTTGTAATATTTTCGCTTGGCTGCTTGTAAATTAAACCACGAATAAGAAAAAGATTTGACAAACGGAAGGAGAGCCTCGATGAACGGATGAAACTCATCCTACATTGACGCATGAAGAAATAAAGAATGAAATGTAAACATAGTAGAACAATCATAAGTGTCATTGTACGTGAAATTTGAAAATATGCAACGCTCATAAAAACAAGTACATACATATCATTACTTTAATATCCCAACAAGAAACTACTTGGGTTATATTTAAATCCAACTTATCTGAATTAAATTTTGGCATATGGTAGCTTTGTTTATGCGTTTCGTTCATTAATCATTATTGGAATAAGAAACAAATATTAATCAAAATTAGAACATATCAAAACAAAATTATTTTAGGTAATAGCATTACTTTTAAGCAAATATTTTTGCCTAATGTATTCAGTTTCCTTGTTTGAACTACTACTTTATTTCTGTGGTTCTAATAAACAAAATAATCATTATCATCAGCATTTGAGATAGATAAAGGATTCATGGGAATATCTTCTTCAGCGTCCTTCATATTTAGTGGGCCTTCAGTTGCTTCATCTTCATCTCCGTAATCACTTAATTGACTTGACCACCAACATACTTCTGCGAGCAGAAGGTAAAAATGAAGGAAATGTCATTTCAGTGAAATTACAGTATCGAAACAAAAAAATTAGATGCACTTCTTCCGGGTAATTTAGCTTTGCATATTATTTCTCATGGGATTTCCACAACATTGCTGAACCTTACGGTTGACCGAGATATAGCCATGTGAAATTATCCAAAATGTGCTCAAGGCTTTGAGTCGCCAAATGTATGAGGTCATAAAATCTGAGCTGCAGCGTAACTGGAAAAAGTAATGACGCATCAACTCTAGTTTTGGTAAGTCCTTTAGCAGGATTTACTAAAATCCATGCCGGAGAATATGTACATGTCACTAAAAGCTATATATAATCTAAAACACACACACACACACACACACATATATAAATATATATATATTGTTACGATTATACTAAATCAACCTCGATTATTTTCTAAATCCTTCGGGTACGATCTCTGGATTGTTAAATAAAAACTCGCCAATGCAATTTGCAGTTTCTTTCTTTATAAAGAATTAATCTAATGTCCTTTATTTTCTCAGTAATTCACAATTCAATTATACTGCACTTTACTATTTATAATCACTAACATCAACTTTCACAATTTACTCTACTTAAATGTAATTCCCAACGCGTTCACTTTACGTCTTCACTGATGTTAACGCCAACCAATTTGCTTTGTCACTGCTTGACTTGCAGCTGAGTGTCGCCTTTATATAGCAGTCGGCTGCTCGCAGACGAAAGCGTAGAAGCATCGAATTGTTCGCTATGGAAGGTTCTTGTTTTATCGTTTCTAGAACGTACTAGTTATCGGCTTCTCTCTTTCATCTGACATTCGCCTCGCATTTTCGCAACAATATATATGTGTATATATATGTATGCTTTTATATTTTTTTATTTTTTTTATATATCTATATCTCTCTTCCAAAAATGCATTTTGTAAAACCATTTAATTCTTTGACTTGATAAATTGAGAAATGGAACACAATTTTTTAGCTGTGTAACAGGTTGATAATCTTCTTCAATCTATTGCTATAATTTCTTTCGGTTTTGCAGACTAAGATTTGTTACGAAGTGTCAATTCTCTGACTACACAGGCCGACACGATTTTGTAACCAAAAACAGTACTATTGAGTTTACTGAGCTAGCCAAATTCGTCCAGGCTCGGAAATTGAGGAGAACTAAGTAAGACTTTGAAAAAAGTGAGGAAAATAAGTACCAATACTTGAATTTCGAGTATTCCTGGCAGTTTTGGTGTTTTTGAACTGAAATCAAATGACAATTTTCATATGATGACGTTGGATGGACTTTTTACTATTATACTTTACGAAAAAATAATATCAGTAAAAATGTGTTAAACTTCACAGAATATAGAATCAATAGTTGCTTAAAACAGAGCTATTACCACAAAATTATTTATTTACAATATTATTAAGGAAAGAGTGTATTTGCCAACTGTACGTACAACTTTTAAAATGTTAAGCTAGGCTAGTTTCTTGAAAGGATAGAAAATTATACTAATCAATTCTACAACTTAAAATTACAATACACAAAAATGCAAAATATTATATAAACAAATCCTTATGCATTAAGGGTGCATTTATGTACATATATTTGGAATATTAAATATTAAAATATTTCATAGTAGTAAACAGACTAATTTTTTTAATACAAGAACTATGTATATACATAAGTATATAAGAGTTTGCATACATAACATATACTCGTACATTAGTGTTTAAACATTGCAAAAGTGATCGTTTCAACGTCATATGTGTAAGAAGTAAGAAGCGTTTTCAATATACAAGGATATAATCCACATACATATATATGTATGTGCCTAAAATGCATATTCATGACATAAAAGCCAACTGTATATCATAGTACATAATTTTACCATAAATATCATACCACAATACTATAGCCATCCATATATGACACAGATAAGTGTTATAAATGCATTTCTAGAGCATTGCTGACGAAAATCAACACTTAAAAATCTTTTGGATTAGAAAAACAAAAGCCATCGATTAGAAATCTTAAGTTATGGAGTAGTGTGCTCTAATCAATTTCATAGTTGTTTTATATTTAACTTACTCACATCTATACATTACATATGTAGTAATATAATATATATAATGTTATTAACGGTTTATTTTATAACTACATATTTCAAATTTTAGTTCGACTTGTGAATTGGATTTTAGCTACCAAGAGGGAACAAGTTTCGGGTGGGATAAAATACGAGATCAACATCCAAAGTTGTAAAAATTTTATTTTTATAGTTGCGGTCGCTCTTCGCCACGGAATGCCGTTCAGAGCCGGCTTTGAATAAACTATCGGATCCTCCCTTTTGGAAAACCCTCAAGGCGCACATCACAAAATGGAGCGTTCGATATCCCCTTGGACCTCATGGTAAATGGTAAAAAAAGTTTTACGATAATGCTAATAAAAAGTTCAAGATTAAAAAAGTTTGTACAATACGTATACAATTTTATAGAAATTAGGTTATACTCGTAATATTACCCTGCAGTCAATAAAAAGTACTACACCTTTTTAGCCGTTATGTACATTGGGGTTTCCCTAACTATTAATTTCGATATATTTTTGTTATTTTGTTATATTTATTCACTGAATAATCGGTGTAAGAGAGCTGATATACTTAAACTAGCAACAAGCACTTTATTCATATTTAATGATGATATGGCATAGTTATGATAATTAGAAGCAACTCATATTATGCAAAGTTAATGATTGTATTGGAATTGAAAGCTTTTAAGAGTAATTTTATTTGATGATTAAGTGAACAAAAATTAATTATAGAGAAATTATGTAAATAAGGGAGAAGAAAAGCTATTTCTGCTTGATCATGATGAAAGTCGAATAAATTGAGTTCAAGTTGCCATTGCACGTTCAGGTACAATATTACGTATATTATTTTACAACCTTCGAAAGGTTATATTGGAACTTCGCTTATCTTGTCGTAAAGGTAGTTGAAGTCATATGGACAAAGAAACGTACAAATAATTCGGGACACATTTAAAGAAAAAGATATCACCGTGGTTGTTGTTCATTGGGATGGTAAAATTATGCCTACTCTAATAATACTGGCGTGGTAATCTGATAGATACTTACTCGAATGCTGACGTAGTAGCCCAACAGACACTAAATTATGTAACAAGGCAAATTCGCCACCCACTATCGTCCCGTTTGCACTGAACGATGCAATAGCACGAATATAAAAGGTATTTCGAACGTCGGAAACGAAGATTTGCACAAAGTTTGGTTTTGTGGTGTCTGTCAAACTACCACGCCAAGCACATAAGGTTAAACAAAAATAATTGTAATTTTTTAATTATAATTAAATAATTATTTGAGTCTAACATATATCTCATTGTTGTTTGGCCCTATCACTATCATTGGTAGTAAATATATTATATATATATTTTCTGTACTAATTTTGAGTCGTTTCAGGCCACTCGCTGGTATTTAATTATTCGGAAACATTTTGTAAGTTCGTGAGAACCATGCGAGGTATTTACTCTCCGAGCACGAATAGGAAAAATGAGAGCTTGCTCCACTCTGTGCTGTATGTGTGGTTGTGACGTAAATTGAAAATTACTATGAAGCTTACAAAGCGAGTATACCTATGCAACGCTCTAATAGAAACCCCTGCCATTTTTGGAACACATTAGGATAATCGATTTTCATAGGCTTCCTTGGATGTCAATTCTTCACCAGCCTAATCACTTGCCATTGACTGGAGCAGATAGTAATCGCTTGGAGCGTGGTCCAGGCTATAAGGTAGATGCATAAGAACTCTCGACTCTCATCTAGCATTTTCTGGACGAAACACAATTAAACTCCTGTTGTCCAAAGCTGGGCACTTCTGAGCGATTGCTTCTTTTAGACAATCAACTTCAAATTCAAACCCTTAACAAACTCCCTTTTATTAGTCAGTCCTGGCTTGAAGATTATCTATTCCTGCTTACTGTCCGTCGACTACGACCGTTTTCGTCCGGTCAATAAAGTTTTATCCTGTTAAATAGTACTTTGTGTAACAAGACTTTTTCAAGTGGCTCCAATTTTTCTTTTGGTTGAATTTATAGATTCTGAGTAAATGAAACAGTGCTCACATGATGATCACACTCAAGGGTTTCCATTATTTTATCGATATTTTCGATAATTGGCCTTCTACCCAGTAGGCTTAATAGTCATTCATTATTTTTGTAATATATCGCTTTAGTGATCTAAGTATACCCCGCACTCTATGAATACCACTAATACCATCAGACAAATAATGTTTTGTACTAACAAAGATAGTAGGATAGGTGTTGATCACTTGATTCCGCGCATGTCGAAAACGGACGCTAGCAAAGGGAATGTAGGCTATATTCTACAAGGCGAAACGAAGTCAGCCAGCTGAAAATGTGAACAGTGTGTATGGCCTTGATACCGCAACAGTCAATCATACACAAT